ATGATATGCAGAATGCACCTCACCGCCGTGCAAAATAGGATGCGGGGAGCGCCCCGCCCCGCCCGAGCCCCGAGCTGCCCGCTTGCCGCGGGTCCGCTTATCATTCGGCTCGACTTTTATCTTATTCCTTTCCCCAAAAGAGTTTCGAGGGCCTCCCGGGAGGAGGAGGAGGGCAGCGGGCCTCCCAAAGTACGTTGCCAACTGAGTGGCCACAACATATCGCCTCAAACGCTCGTTCCTTTTGCTGCGTGCCTGGTAGGCAATATTCGTGCACCCGTGCTGCGCTGGTTGCCCAGTATGCAGTCGCATGATGCAGCCGCAGCTCGCACAGAGTCGCGTTCGAGGGGTATGTTTTGCCTACTTATGAGGGAACCTCTTCAGGTGTAAATATTCGATGTCGTTGAAACTCGGGAAATTTAAAAGTTGTTATAATGGAAGTCGGATGGCACTTGAAATTTTTTCCTAAACACTGTACTTAACATTTTTCAAAAAATATCTTTTTAAAAAACCTTGCTCCTATCCTATATGTAGGGGAGAATTAATTGTGAGCTTAATTGCCATACGATTTCTACATAAATAACCTTCAAATTTACCAAGTGTCGACGGAATCGGAGATTTACACCTGAAAAGGTTCCCTGTTTGTTGGCCCCACTGGCGCGCTGCTGAACCGGCCGACACACATTTTCCCGATTACGCCCCCATTTTCATTCCCTCCCCGGTGGTTCCATTTTGGGACATGGAGATAGACAGAGTTGGTGATAATCTTTCCCTAAAAAGTCATCGATGTGTGTTTGTCGGTGACAGCGGAGAGGAGGAGGCTCAAAGTGCACACACGCGTCGGCCCGCGGGGGGGCTCGCGGCTCTTGGGTCCCCACGCTCCATTCCATCTCTGCCCGCGCGATGACTTTTTCCTCTCGGTTCCTCTCTATCTTCCTATCTATCCCTTATTGTGTGTGCTCAGAAATTTATTTTCGATATCGCCGTCGTCGGACGCCCGCTCGTCGTCGTCGTTTCCGCTCCACGATATCGCGCGCTCCTCACTAATAATAATAATAACATGTGTATCGCCCTCCGTCCGTAATCGGAAGTGTGTACACTTTTATCATCCTTATTATTGATGTAATTATTAATCAGCGTCGACCGCTGGATGCACAGCTCACGCAGGGAGACCTTGGCCCCGCCGCGCGCCCCGCGCCAGCGCGCGCGCCCAGCTACGGGTGTCGTAATCAAAACAGGAGCAAATTTCAAATGATGAAGCCTGCGATTACTTTGCTGTCGTCATCATTAGTAGTAGTTACCCCGCGGTGCCACCGGTCGCTGCTGCCGAGGCGCAAGCCCTGTCCCACGACTGTATTATCGACACGTCCAGTGGTTCGATCTCTCCCTTGGATCATTTCGCTATATCACTCCTTTTTTGAGCAGATGGTGCATTCAACATTGAAACTAGAAAACTGTTCTCAAACAAAAATAAAACAAATTAGTTTTTATTTTGACAATATTTCTTTCTCTTGCAATCGTCCGCTGTCTTGCAAATTTGTCGCCCCTATTACGAAAATAATAAAAAAGTCATGGTCGCATCCCGGCTTGTGCATGAGTCACCGCTCGCGGTTTGTCGTGTACGGTAAGCGAGCTCTGCTATCGCACCCATTGTCGCCGGGGGAAGTCCCAAGGAACAGACAGACGGTCTTTCTTCTTATTCCTCCAGAGAAAGGGAGCAGCGGGGCGAGGTATCCTTACTACTTATCACTGCCTTGTATGTGCATGTGTGTCTATGTGTGTGTGTGTCACCACCATGGAGGAAGTATTATGACGTTACTGTATCGTGTGGCCGCGTGGACGTGCCGTCCGCTCGAAAGAAAACATTGACTCAGTCCGTCCTGCCGACTGCACTTTTGCCTCGCCCGGCCCGGCCGGCTGCTCGGGCCGGCATGAGCCGCGTCGCGCCAAAGTCACGGACCGGCGGACGGTTGGACGGACGGACGGACGGGCGAGGGCCGCGGCTCTTACACTTCGCGGTGCACACTACTTTAAGGAGATGAACGAGAAATTTGAATATTGGTGAGTGAGTGAGTGAGTGAGTGAGTGAGTGAGTGAGTGAGTGAGTGAGTGAGTGAGTGAGTGAGTGAGTGAGTGAGTGAGTGAGTGAGTGAGTG